CCTATACTCAAGTGAAAGTGTTACACGGCAAACTTAAATCTTAGATTTTCCGGTGGTGCGTTGCCTCGCTGAAAATTAAGTTTTTCTTTTGCTGGCAGCCTCTTTGCACTTTGATGACTCATTCTGTCGAAAAACATATCGGTAGCAGCGTTTCTGATCAAGTTAAAAAGTTTCAATGTGTTTTCCAGCTCTCATTTTTCAGTTGGTTGCGTAATATCCGTGACGCCAGTGTTATGCGACGATTTTCCTGTGTTGTGCCGAATAATTTCTTTGTAAAACTTTACCAGTGAAGTCGAAAAAGGTATGCTAGCGCGGCATGTCAAAAAGGCATATGAATTAGGTTTGTTTCTGAAGAGGTTCGGCAATATCGTATGATCGATAGAGTCTCTATAAGCATGATATCTGCAAAGAAAACTTAAACTGTACTTCTGTTCCAAAATTAGACCTTCATATTTTTCTGCATAGCACTGTTTTGGAACAACTCGACAAAAGTCAAAATGAAGTGTTTCTGTTAAAACAACAAAATAACAAAGATGAATATTTGAAAAGTCAGCAAGCAAACAAGAAACGGTAAAGCTCTCTCACTGATATCAATCAGTCAAAATTTAATATAACTTTATAATGACAGCAACGCAACAACGAGGCCACCAACAAAGCAGCTAGCATTTCATTGTTGACCGCTGGAGCACCATCATCGCAGGCCGTCGGCACGCCGCAGGGTCGCCACACTGAATGAAAGCTAATTCTCTCTCACTCCAGCGGAGTGAAGTTTCAATTCATTGTGTAGAACTGCTTTGTAAATTTTTCATTCACGTTACATTAGCATATGAACTTCATTCTATTTCGTTTTAATTTAATTTTTAAATTCTTTCTGTACGAGCTTCAGCTTTTGCTTGTAAATGAATTTTGTTGCTTGAAGGCACTTAACTGCTCAGCAGAATTTTTTGTGAATTAAATTTGCGACTGCTTGGCATGACAATTTAGCTATAAGAGATATTGCTCTAAAATGAGGAGCAAGTTTGTTGCTAAAATTTTATTTTATTAAAATTATGCAGTAATACAGCAAATTATGTTTAATTCAAAAGCAGTAGTTGAAACTTTCACAATCGTTAGTGTTTTTCGATTTACTGAAGGATGAAGACCTCCCCAACACTTTGGTACAAAATTCTCTTTCCTACGATTCTTATTCGTTTTTATGCAATGAACTTCTTCAGCTCATCCTGCCATCGATCTGCAAGTCTTCTTACAGGCCCTTTATCCTCTCTTAGAATCCAACCTAATGTTTGTCTGATCCAGCAATCACTTCAGATGATTTGCAAAAAAATTGACTTGGAACGCCGTAACTGAAACAGCCGGACAACAAATGTCACTAATTCCACTGCGAGACACGACGACACTCCTCACGACTGGGGTTGTGCGTCAATAATCGCAAAAGAACTGCATGGTGGCCGTTGAATGAGCGCTTTGAGTGACTTTTCAGCCGACTCACGTAATCAAAAGTGCATCAATGCCGGCCGACAACGTCAAATTTCGTCATCAACAACTCAGAGTAAGTTTGACTTAAAATTCAAAACGCTGAAGGTCACCCCCTCACATATGTGAGCTCAGATTTGCACTTGACTGGGATTTGCACAGACTTAACTTCAGAACTAATGCTAACAGCAAAAAATTGATATCAGATTGAAATAGTGTAACTCGTAAATTATGAGCGCAGCACAGAATGAGTTATGATAATACAACACAAAAAGTGGCTGTTACACAACAGGATTAATGAACCCGCGCGATGCCACCAAGCACTCAAAACGGTAGAATACGCATATCTTGCAGCTGATCAGCAGAAGCCCTCGACTGGCATATGAATCCCTGCATAATATGGTCACTTTCCTAAACATGACAACAGCAAATTACCTCAACTGCTAAGATGCCTAGAAAAACTAGAGGTCAGCTAATACAACAATGGTTACACCCTGTGTGCTGCCAGGTTGGTTGGAGCCAACTGCGGCCAAAAGAGGCTATTACATGACGTAACACTGCCATACCGATGGTCCATTCTGGGTGACCACTAACAGTCATGTTCGGGGAATTCGCGGTTACGACAGAAACTGCTCCATCTACTCCATGGAACCGTAACATTCGAACTTTGAAGTCAACTACCTAATTACTGCGATGTGGAATGGTACAACAGTAGTAGAGACGTACCGTTTCCAATACTTAGGTTCAGTTGCCACCAAGAATAATGGCTGAATGGTTGTTTTAAAGACAGCGCATCGAAAAATACGTTGTATGGTTATGTATGACAAACGACATGGTCACATATACATAATTCTATAACTAGTGTAATCTTCTCCATCCAACCAAATGTGTCGTTTCATCCATGATGATGGCATAATGACGATGACCCGAACGTCAATGATGCCACGCAAAAAAAACAAATTCTGGTTAACTGCATAAATTCACGGACCATCATCATCTTTATCTTTCATCGTCCCTTCTCCAGTCGAGTCATGGAGGCAAACGCGTCAGATAGGCTTCCACAGTTCCCGATCCTGTGCCAGAGTCTGAGCTTCGGCGGAAGACAACGGGAGTCTGGGATGCACTCCTTCCATTCGCAGACCTTCCATCATATTACGATGAAAACCTGCGGAAGCTAGGGCAATCCACTTCACCCTGAGAAATGATCTCCCTCTATTCACTGCATCCTGCATTCAACTTTACACCATCAAGAACACTTCCGTGACAATTACTATGGCACAATCCGTTGATAGCCGTCGACACGCCGCAGTGCCGTTGAGTTATTGGATAGCGGACAGTCACATCATGATAGAAGAGTTTTCTTGAATTTTATTTGCCAAAATACTATCACATGGAGTATATCTCAAATAGTCACAAAACACGATTCTGGTGAAATGGTTAATGCCGGCAAACAACTACTTGAATGGAACTTCAGAGATCAATTTTTCTGCATACATAAAATGAAGAAAAAATAAAATTACTGTGCGGTCCAACAACAAAATATTTAGTACTGGAAAGACGTATAATCATGGCTAAGAGAAATACTCGACTTGAATCTGACACAAGCATTGAATGCGTGATTGAATCGAACAAGAACAATATGCAAGATATGTCCACATGCTCTTCGTCCAGTATTTCTATGGATCTCAAAAGAGTTGCATAATCAGCGAGCATATGTATGTGCAGTACAGTTCGATTCGTGCAAAAAATTAGAATATTTTGTGAACTGGTGAATTGAAATTAGATTCGACTCAGGATTAGTCGTTTTGTTTATCGGCTGAAGCAAATCACAAGGACAGGATTTTTTCGTAGCGAATCAGAGAACTACTCTGATCGAAAGCAGTTCTTTGGTATGAGACAGCGTGAGGTTTATTGCTTTAGGTCAAAACATATATCTACTTCTAAGCGTTTCCATGTCACTGACATTCAGAAAAATGGTATCAAGCTGATGCTACGTAATAACTTCTCTTCTAATCCATACACTCCTTTCGGTGGGGATGATGATGCTATGAAGTAATGAAAATGCCAAATCATCTATACGGCAGACTGGAGTTAAGTCAGTAAACGATTTTATCGATGAAGAGCGTAATGAGGGGGGGGGTGGGGTTGCGCTATTAATAAAGACTATCAGCTTAGGTTGAACAACGAATCAACAACGTGTAATAGCGGTTAAAGTTTTGAGGCTGTATGTATTTCCGCTGATAAAGTTTGAAGGGGTCAGATTAATTTCAACCTACCTATAGAAAACAGTATAAACGATTATGGCCGAAATAACCCAAGAAAAATGAATATACGGAACGATGTGTACTATTCTGATGCACCAGTAGCTTTCAAATACCTAACTCTGCGTATTATTTGTTGTTATTTGTGTTCTATGATAGAATAAAAGAGCCTTC